TTCTGTTTATCTCCTATAGGTAAAATGTCATCTTTCCCTGGCTACCTGCAAGACTTTATCTTTGTTTTTAATTTTAAGAATTGACTATGATATGTGCATTCGTCAGGGTCAGATAGATATTTTTAGGAATTGGCTTGCACAATTATGGAGGTTGGCAAATTCAGTATCTGAAGCGTAGGCTGGATGACAGAAGACCCAAAGGAAAGTCTATAAAGGCTATCTGCTAGCAGAACACCTTGCTCAGAGGAAGTCAGTCTTTGTTCTATTAAGACCTTCTAATGATGAGATAAGGTCCACTCAATCACGGTGGGCAATCCACTTTACTCAGTCGATGGATATAAGTGTTCATCTTATCCAAAATACTCCCTCACAAAAATATCAATAATAACACTTGACCAAGTATCTGGGCACTATGGCCCAGCCAGGTAGACACATAAAATTAACCATCACAAGGGTCTTGGAGTGGAATATTTTGCATTTTTGTTGATCTTGTCTAAAGTTCACTCAGCTTCTTGAGTATGTACTTTCATTTCTTCTGACAGATTTGGGAAACTTCTCAGCCACTATTTCTTTGAATATTTTTCAATTCAACTCTTTTCTTTCAAGGACTCTGATGACATGAATTTTATATCTCAAAGATCTCTAAACCCCTGTTTATTTGTTTTTGATATATCATTTAAACTTAGTGATCTCTATTTCTCTATTTTCACATTCACTTATTCTTTCCAATGTCTCTCTATTATGCTTTTGAATTCATACCTTATTTATTTTGGTTATTGTATTTTTTAATTCTAAAATGTCCGTTTTGTTCTTCTTTAAATAATCTATTATTTTGCTGAAATTTTCTATTCTTTTGCTGTGATTTTCTACTTTGTCATTTGCTTCTAGCATATTCATTATTGCTCCTTAAATCACTGCTCTGATGGATGCCAGCAGGGTGGGGACTGACTGCGGGAGAGGGGGGAGAGCAACAGGGGGTAATTGGGACAACTGTAATAGACCAACAATAAAGAATCCTTGGAAAAGAATTCCCACATTGTTGTCTACTCAGTGTTGGCTTCTGCTCATTGTCTTTTTTCAATCAAAATGAGATTTCCTTGGCTCTTGGTAAGGGTACTAATTTTCAACTGAAACGTGGATATTTTAAATTGCGTTTTAGCAGGATTCCTCTAATGCAATACTATTCCAGCAGGGAAAGAGGAAAACACCCAGGTACAGTAGAATGCCCAGGTCCTGATTCATTCTCCACTGACACTCAGGGCAAGGGGAACACAGATCTCTTCACTATCGATGGACGTGGTCGGAAGCTCAAGTGTCCCATTAGAATTTCACTGATATCACTCTGGCTATGAGCAATAAGGGTGCCACCTTATTGTTCCCCAAATGGTCTCCACTGACACTGTGGCAGGGGCAGGGGGGGATGATCTTATAACTAGTGAGCAGTAATTAAAGTCCTGATTCTCCATTCAATATCCCTTCATATGTAGCCAACAGGGAAAGGGAAAAGGGTCTTATTACCATCAGGATGGGTGGAAGTTTAGGTTTCCTACATGGCCTACCCTGACACTCAAGGGAAAGGGAACTTACTGCTCAGTGACACCAAAAGTCCTGGTTCCCAGGCAGCCTTCTTTATCACTGCCTCAGTGGGGAAAGGAACAGTACCCCATCATGGCCTGGTGAGGGACTGCAATTTATGCTGGGATGTTTGGTGGGATTAGAATAGTTATCATCTAATAGTTTTATGCCTTTTGAGATCGAGGGTTTTCTTGTCTTTTGGGTAGAGAAAACAGGCTTTCCTTGGGGTTTGTTGTCTGTGCCCATTTGGTGTGTTGGGTTTTTCACTGCTCTAGCACCTTTCTAGAGCAAATGAAGCAAAAAACAAACAAACAAACATAAAACAGGGAACCCAGCATCACATATTTACTTGGATCCCAAGATCCTGAGCCCGTCTGACTTTTTTAGCCAAACTGTCAAGACCTTATGTCTGTTTTACACATTAATGCTCAGGGTTTATTTTTTTTTAGCTGTATTTACAAGGAAGAATATGAGAAAAAAAATGTCTACTACTTATGTCTGGAAGCAGAGGTTAATGGAAAAATAATGCACCTTTGCATTTTTGTTTTACCTTAGTTGGTACATTTTGAATTATTTTCCCTAATGAATTATTTTTTCAAACTCTTCAATAATGTTTCAACTCAACTTGGAGGGGATAAAATGACTCATCATATCTAGTCTAGGATATGTCAGATCCCTAGAGGTCAAGAATGGTAGTAGGAGGGTAACAGATTTCTCTAGTCCAGTTGCATATTTGAGTAAATACCTGCACAGGTAGGAGAGGTAAGAGTGTGAAGCCCTGAAAACCAAAGCATCAGGAAAGATATGGTTTTAGGTTCCTTACTTCCTGTACATGTATGTGCACTTCTAGTATACCCATATACACTGGTGTCTGTGCATGGAAAATATATTCCATTGCAACAAGGGCTTGTCTATTTTGTTAGTGCTATATCGACAATAGTCTCTGGCATAAAAATGATGTCAATATATATCCTGAATTAAGGAATAAAATACAAAGAGAATATTACCACTATTGCTATTATCATAGTAATGGTTATTAAAAGGTATATTTCAGTTTATTTTTGAGTTACCTAAAGATTAATGAGTCATCCATCAAAATGTTTATATATTTTAACAAAACAAAACTTTAAAAGATATTAATAAAAAGTAAGTTGCCATCTTTTTTTTAAAAAAGAGAAGCATAGTAAAATAATAATCACATGAACTTCTCATGCTTGAATTTAGAAATGAAAATTTTTTCTTATTCCATAATAAGACATAAATTAACACAAATTATAGACATCCAATCAACAAGGAAAACATTGTCTATTTTTTCGACTGAGTTATTTTTTCTATTTTTTCCTATACTACTATGAAGTTGATGCTCCGTGTGTTTTTAGATCGCCTGGATTATAAAATTTCATGTGATAATTAACATATTAAATGTTACTCCTTCTGAGAGTATTGTAATATTATTGTACCAAATGTGAAGCTCATCACTAAGTCAATATCTAAAGCTACATAAAATGTATTCACACTAAAAGTTCCCTGCTGTAGAAAAATGTATGTATTTTCATGTTAACTGACTGTAAGTATAATATGATGATGAAAATATAAGTTTGAATGCTTTCTAGTTCAACCTCTAATCCTTTTTAGTAAATCATAATACTTAATGCCTGATACTTTTAAATTCTTTTTTTAAATTAGTGACAAATAATGATACTAGAAAAAAGAAGATAAAATAAATAGCTCACAACCAAATTTCCTCAAAATACAAATGTAAAATATATTTACAAAGTTTTCACATAGGATTTTAACCACATTAGTTGGCACTGTTGAAAGTAATACATAATAAACATGTTTTCAGCAAAGGAAATTTTATGAAGCTAGAACCAAAAAAGGACTTAATATATTAAATACTGAACTGTTTAAAAGTACATATAAGTATACAGAATGTACTTTCCAAACATTTAATTTAAAATTCATAAATAAAAAGTAAAATATATATTCATCCAAGAATATATCACTTACTCTTCCAAGAGAATTATGTAAATTCCAGTATTTTAATTCTACCCACCATTACCCTTAGGGAAAAAAGGATGGTTCAAAATAGATCCTATACTTTTCCCCAACTCAATAACTAAAGCTGGTTTATATTAGCAGAACTAAAAATTCACAACATTATAAAAAGAGCCAATAATCACAGCTGTAAAAACCAGACATTTTTTGAATGACCTTCTCAACAATTGAACCAGTTTCTACATTGGGCCAAGTCGCAAAAATGACCTTTCACGTCCCAGAACTTATCTACCAGACTATTTTATGGAAAGGGGGAAAGTTTTTCACTTGAAGTAATTTTGGATCTACTTCTTTTTCTACTTTTATCCAAATGACTTGTTACAGGAATCTTTTTCACATTAAATTATCAGCTAAGTAAAATGACATTAACTTCTATCAAGCCTAGGGATAAAGTTGAATTGACAAAATATTTCTATATTTCACATGTGGTAAAGGGATTTTTAAAAAAACACTTAGTGTAATAATGAATAATCAAAAACAAAACTAAGTTCATCTATAGAGGCAGAGTTAAAGCAACTATATTACGCATGTACTGTGGAATACTATAGAACAGTGACAAAAATAAAACACATGTATATAAACTGACAACTGACATTAAACTATCTCTAGTCATATGGAGTAAATACAGGAAGAAACCAGGAACAGTTTGAATAGAAAAACATTTTTGTAAAAACAAATCAAAATTACATAGCATGATGTGTGTGTATATATATATATACAGAGAGAGAGAGAGAGAAAGAGCGAGAACTTCTAGAAAAATGTACATTAAATAACTAACAGTAGTTACCTCTGGGAAAATTATTTGAATTTTATTTCAACAAGAATGTATGTCTCTTGTGGGGGGAAAAAGATCTAACGTGAAATTTTACTGAAAAAAATTTGTCATTAAACACTTAATTTGTTTTAAATGATTAAGCTTATATAGGCATAGAATCAAAAGAATAGTATTGTGTAGCACTCATATTGATATTTATCATAATTTCTGTCATTACTTAAATATATTAAAATCTACTTAAAATATTTAAGAAAGGAATAAAAGTATAACAATATTTTTCAGGTTTATACCATGCCTTTCTTTTTGTATTGGAAGCGAAACCATAATATAATCCAGCAATTAATTTTTTAGTATTTTGTTTTTGAACCTTCAGCTGCCAATCCTGTATTCTCAAATATTCTAACTTCTCAAACGCAGAGCAACATTTAACATTACTATGTAGGCCTTCAGTGAACACTATAGATTAACTGGAAAAATTCTGTACCAAAATAAGACTACATGAGAATTCTACAATTTGTGTATGTTTGCTTATGCCTACGTGAAAAATTTTTACTAAAGTTTACCAAAGTTTAAAAGACTCTCAATTCTCTACCTTATATTCATCCACAATAATGCTGAGGGCTTCATGACCAGCTTTCCTCATGTCTTCCAATTCTTGTTTATGTTTTTCCTGAAAAAAAAAAGAAACTAAATAATGATTTGTTCTTTCATTTACAAAATTATAAAACCGTTGACTTTTGCATCATGAATAACTGAGTGGTTTGTGAAACATCAATGCTAAAGCTGAAAGAGTGAAAAGCTATTTTTTTCAGTTCTGTTTAAAAGCATTAGGGACAGCTGTGACAATTCAAAATGAAAAAAAGAACATCTCTCAGCTAAGAGGTGAGATCACAGAAGGCAATGGTGGCAATTGCCACCCTTGAGGCATGTGGCAATTCTGGTCCTGGATCAAGAAAGAGAGACCCCATATTACTTCAACAAACATTTGTCTCTAAATTTTTTTATCACTTCCCCAGTAATATATATGTAGACCCCAAGAAAAATGATTCACTTGATGTGAACCATGAGAAGGAATTTATCTTCTGAGATAGATTCCTCATGATCACTGGAGGACTTGATTTTATGAACAGTAATAGCCTGGCGGCCACTTGCTCACAGGGGCTCCTCATACATTCTGTGCACCTGAAGAACCTCAGGCTGGACTCTGGGCTTCCTGCGCTGTTTGTTTATGCCAGTTGTGGAGAGCAGGACCAAGAAAATGGCATTGGTCTGATCAAGATAGCATGAAGTATATAAAACAAAGTGGAGTCACTCGTGTCAATCAAGATGGCTGTCCGTCAGCCATGACACTTTGGTTAAAGAGGGAAACCACCTAAGTCAGAGCAGACACATCTGGCAAGGAAACACACCTAAGGTATCTGCACACGTCATCAGAACAGCCATGTCTGCAGAGCAGGACCACTCAGAGATAGGCTCCTGGGGAAATTCCCCACTTGCCACCAGGGGTGCCAAGACATTTATCAAATGACCCTGAAGGGTAGAGCACGCCACTTTCAAGGTGTAACTGAGGCAGGTCCCAGACCACTGCTAAGACAGCTGAGCTCCACACACCAGAGCGCTGTTCCGCGCCACACCGATCTCCCTTGGCATCGGCCCCCAGAGGCTCTGCTCTGCTGGACTGGGGATTTCATCTGCCCTGCTGCCCACCTGGCTCCGGAGACCCTTCCTTGCAAGACACTGACAGCTCCCTTGCCCCTGGTGCTGTCTCCCAGGCCTGCAGACTGAGACTCTGGGACTCAGGTTCGTTATGCCCGATTGATTGCTGTGTGTCTGTGATATAATTCTCTTAGAGTGTTAGAGTGTGAGTAGGATATTAATGTATGTTGATGTTCTACTTTGAGTGAACCTGCATTCAATAAAAGCTGAGTGAACAACACAGTTACCGTGTGTGACTCTTATCTACTCCTTGGTGCCGGGCGGCTCAGCAGGCAGCTCACTGAGCAGTTGCCTGGTGGACTTATAGGAAAAACTATATCACGAACGTATGCTTGTGACACCAATGCAGGTAAACCCTGGTTTCATCTTTCTACCAAAGGACAGAAAACTGCCCCATTCGATCAGAACCACACAATTTACTTGGATAGGAACTTTAGCTATAAAAGGCAGCCCTGCCCTGACTGGGATGGCTACTTGTTGGGCTTCCTCACACAAAGCAATGCAAAAGGTCACTGGTTTGATTCCCGGTCAGAGCACATACCTGGGTTGTGAGTTCAGTCGCTGGTAGGGGCACATACAGGAAGCAGCCCACCAGTTTTTCTCTCTCTCAATGTTTCTCTCCCTCTCTTTTCCCTCCTTTCCCTCACTCTAAAAATAAATAAATAAATAAAATCTTTAAAAGAAAAGGCTGCCTCTCCTTTGCCTGGGGATGCTACCTAAATTTTCTGCCTGAATCTCTGTGTCCTAGGCTGTAGCTACTTCTGCTCAAATAAATGCTTTTTATTCCTTATTACAGTCTAAAATTAATTTTGGTTTACATAAACACACTGACATTTTAATACATTTAATACATTTTAATACAAAGTTTGAGAACCACTGGATTATAGTGATGAACCTCTCATTTTACCTTCCTAGGAGAGAAAAAGGATGAACTCCTTTTGGACAATGTTAACATGCCATAGAACCTTTTCAATTTTTCAAAACACGAGGTACATACAGCTTTCAGTACAAAATTATCATAGAAGATAATAGAAGACAACAAGAAAAAAAAAACAAAAAGGAAAAAGGCCCATGAGTGATTCAGTTATTAGTTATTGAGGACTTTAAAATATGTGTGATTAATATGTTCCAGAAAATAGAGGAAAAATATGTAAAAATGGATAGGGTAGAGATTTTCATTCAGAGAACTGAATTCCTAAAATAAAAATTCTATAGCTGTGAAATATGTACTGTTAACAACTCAAGAGATGAAGTAAATTGTAGATTAGATGGAGCAGAAAACAGAATTAGAGAACAAAAAAATAGTGGGAAAAAATAGAGACTACAGCAAAAAGAGAAAAAAAAGGATGGAAAATACCAAAAATCTTTAAAAAGACAGGGAACAGAATAAAAAGGTAAAATAGACACGTCAAAAAATAAAATGTAGTAAGACGATAATGATGAAAAATCTAAAACAAATTCTCACTATCATGCATGAATTCAGAACATTATATAACCTACAGACAATTCTAAAAGCAATTAGATATTATAAGATATTCTATCAGTAAAAATGACATTTTAGATGAAATAAAAAAAACTCTTTGAAAACAACACAACTTAGCAAAACCAGAAGATATGATTAAAAATCTGAATAGTGCTATATGTGTTAAAGAAATTGAAGCTATATTAACTTAAAAAACCAAACAAAAAAATCTCTGACCAAGAAATCTCTAAGCCTGGATGTCTTAAGTAAATTTTAATAAACATTTAAGAGAGATGTAACAGAAATCTCATGCATATTCTTTCAGAGACTAGGAAAAGAGAAATTATTTCCCTACATATTTTGTTAGGGCAGCATATCCCTTATACTAAAATTTGCAAAGATATTTTTAAAAAATAAAATTACAAATCAATCTCTTTTATAAATATAGAAACTAAAATACTAGCAAACTGATTCTAGCACTATATAAATAGGAAAATAGATCTCAACCAACTGGGGTTTACTTTAGGAATGTCAGGTTGGTGGAAGTGATATACACCATTTCAGGCTTGAAGCACAAAAACCGCCCACATAAGCCTCCACACATTTCCTTTCTCCCCCGCTTTGCTTGCTGGATGTCAATACCCAAGAGGGCAATGAAAGCCAGGTGTTACAAACAGCAGAGCCTCTGCCAGACGGGAAGCCTGAATGACTATAAGGGAAGACTGTATCATCGCTCCAATGACCTTTGAGAAAATATTAAACTTTAACTATATAAAAGATAAAAGATAATACAATAGTTCTCATTCACTTACTGCTACACTTACTTGTTCTTCAACTTACTGATGCAACAGGTTCTGTTTCATTATATCAACAGCTGATTTCCCTTTCTGCTATGTCTCTAATATATCTTACTGTAGCTAAAGCATTATTTTCCTGAATTGCCTAAAGTCCCAGGGGTGTCCAACCTTCTGGCATCTCTGGGCCACACTGAAAGAAGAGATGCCTTGGGCCACACATTAAATATATTGCGACATGTAATCACAAAAAAATCTCATAATGTTTTAAGTAAATTTACGATTTTGTGTTGGACTGCATTCATAGCCATTCTGAGCTGCATGTGGCCCATGGACGGTGGGTCGGACACCCCTGCACATAAAGTACCAGTAGAGCAACTTTTTGTAACACTGATTTTTATTGGTATGATAACCAATCTATGGCTCATGGCAGCAATCTTTTTAAAGACATTTTTCCATTTCTGCGAGAGCTGTTCTAATAAAAACTACGTAACACACCAGCCAAATTTAAATACCCAGTTAAGCAAGCTCACGCATTACTTTACACTAAAAGCAAGCCAACAGGTCAGGGCCTCCCTCCTAACTCATCACTTTGGAAATCCCATTCATGTCAGGTTACTTCACAAATGGCATGTGACTGGTCTTATCCCTGGGACCTAGGAAGGGCAAAAGCATCAATCCATGAGCTAAATCACATACTTTTTTCCCCTTAATTTTCAAGATCAAAAAAAGTAATAGAAATAGGTATTCTGACCTTTTGTTTCCATATCAACATCTTAGGCAATTCTTGAGACTCACACTCTTTGCCCCAGATATCACACACCCATTTCTTCCAGATACTGCTCAAAAGTCATCATACCAAAGAGACGTTCCTTGACCCACCCTATATAAAATAGCACATGCTCATCATTATCTACTAATCATGCTTTATTTTTATTTGCAGCACCTATCACTACTTATTACTTTGTATTTATTGTCCATTACCTATCTACCCCTACTATATTGGGAAAGATAATGATGGTACTCTCTGACACTATGGCACTTGGGAAAGTGAGGAAGAGCAGACACTAGAGAGATTTCAAAGGTGAACATTAAGTTCCACTTGGGAAGTTGAAACTTTACTTACCATTGAATACATGTACCTCGAATACTGCCTGGTGTATAATGTCAGCTCAATATATAAGGAATGAATAAAGAAATAAGAATGGACAGGATTTGGAGGCCAAACATATGGGAAGCGAGAAATGTGTTGTAATCTTCATCAAAGAGACAGTTATTTAACATCATAATAAGAATGTTAGAAGTGTATTTAAAACCTAGTCCTCAAAAGTGAGGCTACTTAAGAGGTTCACATACATGGTGAGTGAATAAATACGATTATGGTCAATGGTCTGAATGTAACTTATAATTGTCAATATAAATTAAATATTTGTACCTGTTTATCTGTCAAATGACGGAGTGAGAATAAATCATTTCTAAAAAAACTCTTCCAATATTTCCAGTACTATTCTATTATACAGTATGCTAAAACTAGATCTATCAATCCCCCTTTGCTAATGGCAATCATATAACCAGAGTCTAACACCCCAGGCTGCCCAGTTACAAAAACAAAACAAACCAACCAAAAAAAACCCCTGAGGAATAGCAAAAGAAGTCACGAATAGCCTGAAATTTTTATTTCAAGAATATAGAGCCAAA